ACATCACGTAGTTCTTCTTTCACCATGCTGCTGTCGGAACCAAAGCCAGAAAGCCCCCAAGTCACCACAGTGCCGTCCGACCGTAGCGCAGCAAATGCGAAATAGTTTGAGTAGAGCCGCTCGACCTGCCTTAGATCCCCTCGAACATGCTCAGAGTTGCCACCGCGGTCCTCCACGCCCCAGGTCACAACAGTTCCATCTCCCCGCACTGCCGCAAATGCGAAGCCTGCTCCTAAGACTTGCCGGACATCTACCAGCTCGTTTTCAACCGGCCGAGTGTCGGCTCCGAATGGCTCAAAGCCCCAAGCAACGACACGGCCATTGCCTAAAACAGCGGCGAAGGCTCCATCAGTCGCGGCTATCTGCTGCACGTCCGTCATGCCAAGCCCACGACTGATGCTGGCGGGACCCTGGCCCCAAGTCACCACAGAGCCATCCTTGCGCACGGCTGCCATTGCCAGGCTGGATGCAGACAGGCTTCGCACCTCTCGCAGCTCCCCCTCGTCAATAGCATCAAGTGAGATGTTTCCCCAACAAACGACGCTTCCGTCCGCGCGCATTGCAGCAAATGCTCCACATGTTGCACAAATGTCTTCAACGTTCGTCAGTCTCTCCTGGACAGTAGAGCTGTCACCACCGAATGCTTCATCCCCCCATGTCCTGACCGTCCCGTTGCTGCGGACGAGGGCAAATGCTCCGCCATCATGCGCAGTGTTCTGGAACATGCGGCAACGCTGGCGCGTCGCGACCAACTTCGCACGCCGAGCGGTCGCGAAGACCGTGTCACCATGTCGGAGGCCTGTCGAAGACACCGTGGCTGTGTCCGGGAGGATATGGTCACCGCTGACCAGAGCCTCGGAAAGGCAAGAATACACATCACACACACATAATATGTATGTATATATATATATATATATGCATAAACCTTTTTTAATTTATACACACACACACGCAGCACCACGGAAACAGCATCCGGAAACTTTTCCAACACTTTGCGCCCGCCTTGATCCCAACACCCAATGCCAGCTGTGCTCGGTGTCGGAACTCTTCCACGGTCAACGTCTCCCCATGCGCCGCTTCTGCGCTGACCATGGCCCGATGGCCGCTCAGCAGCACCACTTCGACAACGAAGGCCATTGGTTTAGGGCTGAGAGTTTAGCGCCAGTGCATAACTGGGCATAGTGCCGTCGTGACCTTTGGGACTAGAACAAAACTTTTGAAACTGAAGACCACGATCTCAACCCGAACATGGATTTGCGCCGAGGAAGTCTTAGTACGGAAGGCTGTGCAGTAGCCAGCACCGAAACCTAGTAAATCTAGTGACGCATGCTTCTTTCGGCTTGCAGAAAGAGGCTTTCAGCTTGGGCAAGAAAAAGCAGGGAGTAGTTGCTTCCGCCTGAGCTGCAGATTTGACTTCAGCCGAGTCTGGGTCCCCGCACTTGTGGGCCCAGGTGAGGAGCTTGTGCTCATCCAAGTACTTCCGGGCATACACTGCCTGCAAATAACGTTTCCATGTTCGAAGCTCCAGCGGTACACATCTACGAATGCAGACAAGCTGCCACTCGGTGGCGATGACTGACCTAAGCGATGACGAGTGCAGCAGGAGAAAAAAACAGGCAATGACAACCCAAGCCTCTTGACCGCTCCAGAACCTGTGGCAAAAAGACACATCCTCAACCCTCAACGGTCAAATCCGCAGTTCTACCCCCCCTCGACTCTCACCCCTTCATCCCTTACAGACACTCCTATCACTTTCCTGTCTAAAGACCTGAAGCTTCAAACCCGAGCCCCTTTGAATCCCTCTTCCCTTACGCCCCAGTGCTAAAGTTACGTCAACCTGAGCCTCCAGGCTGAGCTGTCGTCGACTTTGGCGGCCTCGGGTGCGGCGCTGATCTCCTGGCCGAAAGATGGCTCCAGCGGCAAAAGACTCGACAGGGACACTCCTCTCTTTGGATGCTAGTCAATTCGTTCAAGTGGCTTTCAGTGCATTTTCAAGCTTGCAATTGACATTGAGTACTGACTAAACCCCCTGCTGCTATTCCCGTTTCGGGCTGTAGTTGTCTTCTCCAGCACAGTCGAGAGGCAGACTGCTTCTGCGAACTGTCTGCTGATTGTCTACTCGGTTTTGGCCGCCACTAGCGATTGTTTCTCTATGGCACGGCTGACTCTACCCGGACTCGTAGACAAGACCCTCACCATTGAAAGGTTTTTGCTCTCTCTCTCGCTCTCTCGGGCATGGGTGCCTGTCAAAGCCCCCCGGGCGTCAAGCCCACCCGATCATTGTCGGGTTTAGGGGAGTGAAGTATATATGAACATAGCTCATCATAAGCCCCTCTCTCCCTCTATCTCTCTCTACCAGCCAAGGAGAAGGAGTCCTCCCTCCCTGAGCCCCACGACATTCATTACAAAGCCATTCCCCTGTTGTGCCATAATCATCGCATTGCTACTGTTGTGGATGTTATCGTTGTCGTGTGCTGATGTTATCTTCCTTGTTGGCCTGCCGGCTTTGCGTCCACATGGTTCTTACTGTTCATGCGATTCCACTCTGGCCTCTCGTTCTACTTCTTCACATCCAGACTGATCGCCATGCTCTTGCATTTGCCACTTGCAAGCTCATGATACTTCAGATTGACTGTCTGTCTGAAAGGTGCGTCGTCAGAATTGTTGGCGGTACTGAAATCCGAAGGCCCTTCTTCTCTGGATTCCCACCTGCTCTGTTGCAGGTTGGATGACTTCTCGCATGTGCAAGGACACCTGCACAGGCCAAACCCAGGCTGTCACAACCAATTGCTTCGAATGCATCTCATGACAGATCGACATCACTTCGCAGCATGTTCAATGTAAGAGTACCTTGGAGCCGAAGTCGTCCAAATCCAGGTCATAGCGGCCGACACTCTCGTTGTACTTCATCCTCAGCTAGCCAACAAGGGTGGTCAAGTTTATGAGAGGATTTCTGCAGAGGGCAGGCGTTCAAAACGACATCCACTTAGCAGCCCAGTGGTGTGAACAGATTTGTGGCCATGGGGCATGTTGCTTCCAATCTGCTGCAGGGCGTCCACCTGCAGGCAAGCAGGAGGCGTTGTCAGGGTCATGAGTTCCTTGGCCCGCCCACGTTTTTCCCTGCGATCCTCTCTTTGGTTCTGTCTCTGGACCCCTTTTGCACAGACTTGTTCATGCCCGTCTGGCTCTCAGAGCTGCTGCACTCGTGGCAGAAATCCTAGGACCCTTAAACCCCAAACCCTGACCCCTAAACCCTAAACCCTAAACCCTAAACCCTAAACCCACCCTATTTTAGTTCTCCCGAAGCCAAGCAAGGAGCTGTTTGTCCGGCCGGCCTTGACATCCTCCCCGTGCTTGCAGCCCTTGGGGAAGACCAGCTTGAACTTCGAGTCTACAACCGCCTGCCTGCGCGTGGAGCCTGAAGGAACACGGATGTCTTAGAGAGTCGATGGATGCAGGACGCTTGCCTAGGCCTTTGCGTCTGAAAACACCGTGCCATTCGAACATGGCGTGAGGGCCAGCTATGCGTGGGATTCGGGATTCTCGTCGCAAACATACGGACCTATGCCAACACAATAAGCTACCATCAGATCAGGTGTTCAAGTGCAAGCACGCCCACTTACGACGGCGTCCGTAATTGAACACTGGAAGAGGAAGATCATGAATCTGGCAAAACCATCGGACCTTTTTAAGCCATGCTAAACATTGGACGTATGTACCAGTTTTGTTCTTGAACCCGGAGATGTGAAAGATCCGAAGACCCGACACTCCTGGCACCCGAAATCTTATGCCCTGTCCCGCGGAGTTTGCCCATTTCATAGATCGGGCTCTGAGAGTCTGGCCCACTCGGATGGAGAGCAAGGTTCCCTGGGGCAGGCCGATTGTGTCCGAAAGCGTCACCTGCGATCAAAGACAGCTCGACTGGAGAATCAAAGGACTCTGTCACGAAAGGCTCAACACCCTTGTCATGAGCTTCACTCAGTGCTACAACCAGACATCCCCATCTCCGTTCCACCAAAGACAGACGGCAACAGAAGCACCCCAGCTCGCCTCCATTGCTGATGTAACGAAGTCAAGGACCTGCTGGGCGGAAAAACTCGAGTTTCCACATGATGCGGACTCAGCCGACTCTGCCCTGCAGGTCCCAAGGGTGTGACTTAAGTGCATCTTTGTGGCTCTAGCTGTCTTCTGCGCCAGCCCACAAGCCACACTTCCGCAAAAATCCATACCCCTCCCTCAACATTGACAACACCGATCCTTGACCAAGGGCAAGTGTCTTTGTGCGACCCCGGTGTTCATCTGGGGCTAGTAAACCATCATAGTAGCAGCTTTCTACTTTGCCGTCTTTGCCTTGGTGTCGCCGACGCGCAAGCTTGTCCTGTCAGGCAAGATACAACTTCGCGAGGCGGGTGGCCAGTTCTCAAGAAGATAGCACAAGCGGGCACTTTCTGGCTAGATTGAAAGTCGAGGCCTAGGCCATAGATCACGTGGCCAACTGCAATGACTCTTCCATCAAAAGCGTACCGTCGTCACAAGGCTTGGTCGACCAAACAAGCTGTGACTCCAAATTATGCTTGTCGCTAGGCCTGCAATAACCTCTCGGAGTCCGTCAGTGCCGACTACGCTGCAGACTGACTTGTTTTTGCAATTGTAGTGCCTCTGTGTGGCGGGTGTTCAAAAGGATCCGGCCTTCTCTGCCACGGCAAACAGCCTGGTCGCAAGCTCACAGGCTGCACACGAAACCGCAGAAGGCCATGGGCTCACGGACCCTCGTGGCATGCGACAAGGCTTGTTCTGCCGAGGCCACGGCGGTGACAAGTTGGACAGGAGAGCGTAAGGCAGCTTTGAGCCAAGTGCTAACATCAGCTCACATTTCATCTCACAACTAAGGCGCTGACAAAAAACCAACCGATGCTATGCAGAAGGCTACATGGACATGCAAGTATGATCTTGGCACTGGCATTTAAAGTTCTCCCATTGCTGCTCGTGAAGGAAGAAGCCTGAGCTCCGGCTTCGGCTTGTCGTCATTGAGGTAGGTGTGGCAGTCTGGCAAATCTGGAGAATCCCGTTTGCCGGATGCTCATCCACCCGTCACCCCCTAACGCACCCCGATGTTTCAGACGGCTGATCCGTTGACCCGATGTTTTACATCACAAGAACCTTCCAACTTCGCAGTTGGACTCCAGACCAACCACACGGAACAGCACGTCTCCTTCAGATTCTGCAAGGCCTGGCTCTCCTCTTCTTCGGGCAAATGAATCCGCGCTATGCGATGAGTGGCTTCCTGGCACATTGGCTTGCATGAGGTCCCAGAGCGGCGCAAGGCGAGGAGCATGTTGCGACATGTTTCCAGAGGCACGAGGAAGGTGGGAGAGCCACAACGCAATCTGCTCCAAGTCTACAGGGCTTCCGACCCGAGAACAGCAAGCCAGGGGTCTGTTTTGGGTATGAAGCCTCTTGGGAGCCCATGGAACCCCCAAGGTGCTGTGTGAAACCCGAGCACGCGCAGCCAACCTCTGCCATTTGTTCTCGCAAAGCCCTGCGATGGACTGTCTGGGTTCAGTTCGGGGAGTGTTTCGACTCGCTAAACAAGTGGAAAACAAGATGAAGCATTGTGGTGGATCGTGTTGGGCCGACTTCAGGAAGGGGGGTTCCTCTTCTGCTAGTCTGACTGTGGTAACGATCCTCTTCTCGGTGATTTGCTTGGCCTCCATTATGCTGGCTGACATTCTGTGAGGCTTCTACTCCGAAACAGCCATCTACAAAAGCCTCCAGAAACCTGCAAAACGGACGCCGGAATTGCCCCAAGTGCCTAAAGCCGAAGTACCGACTCTCCGACTGCTAGGCGCCACACGTCAGCAGCTTGGAGGGCAGGTTTTGCATTGACGAGCCTGCTTCATAAAATGTGGACCCAGTCATACCAAGTTGCTGGCAATCAAGCATGGCTATCGGGTTGCGCACTGCGCAATGCCCGGAATGAGGGCCCTGCCATCTATGGAGTAGAGTATGCACGTCTCTGCGGAGCAGCGAACCACCTGCAGAGTTGGAATACATTGCAATACTCTTTGCCATCCTCCTGTAGTCCCTGGGGCCCTATATCATCACATAGTTATTCCAGGCTGTAGTATGTACTATAAGCTACAGTACCCCAAACCCAAAAAAGCCGTCTCCAGGAAGCCGCAAGCTCTGAGCGCACGGCTATGGAGAAGGGCTCCGGCGTGTAGGCCGGAAGTGCTGCCATGGTTCCAAACAATCCTCGGCAGCACGGTGCCCGAAGCGTGCCCCGCCACCGTGGCTCCCTCGTCAAGGAGGCCCTATATACAGCTGAGGATGCTACATCGTTCATGATCGGATGGACTCATCTCAGAGAGGACTGAGGTCCGGTCCTCCTGCCTCGAGAGTGTCCAGCACCTCCACATCCTGCAACCAGCCGGCGTGCCAGCAAAAGCAAGACTTAAGTAATGTGACGTTAATTGTCAAGCTTAGTAGGCTTGGCAAGATCTACAGGCCGGCCATGTATCGAAAAAATCGACGTCACCCTCTGGCACTAAATCCGGATTTGCCCGTCCTCATCTGGTGCCAGACGAGCAGCACTTGCCTGGAAAGCCTGCTGGCCATGGTGCTGACGAACGAACCAAAGCTTCTGCTTGAAAGTATTTTTCCACGAGGCTTGAGAATCAAACCACGGTTAGAAGCCCTCAAACCTTAAGCTCCACATGCAGAACTGCGCTGCAAGCAGTGGGCAAGATCATGTTCCGTCTGCTGGAGGTGCTCGCGGGACAAGAGCTCCGTGCGATTGGCCTGGCTCTTCTGGTCAGGCTTGTCGATACTTCAAAAGAAGCGCTTCATTAAGTGAGGGCTACAACTGATCCTATACGGCCAGATGCAGTTCAGTAATTACTGTTCCTTCTCACGCCATTTACGGTTTTGCTTGTCTCCTGCATTGCTGATTGCTTATCGAGTCACTTGGCAAGTTGACTTCGCTTTTTTGGTCAGCTTGGGCACATACCCAATTTACGATAGGCTCGCGAGAGCTCGTTCTGGTTTGACCAGTTATCATGGGACGAGAATTCTAGACGGCAATGGTTCACACAGCATCGGAATCTGGAAATGGGATTGCAGTCTCCGACGCCTATTGAGCCAGAGATCTGTCGAATCATGCCGTGTCTAGGACCGATCAACGTTTGAGGCTCTTCTGGCTCATAGCCCAGGCCTAGACATTCGACCAGGAAGGCTGCGAGGCCATAGACGCTCAAGGGCAAGCTGGCGCGTTCTATGTGCGCCAGCTCTCTCTGGGCAGGCTAGACCAACTAAGAACTGAAAGAAGGTCAGCTTGGGTACATACCCTATCGTCACTATGCAACTAAGGGCAAGCTCATTTCAAACCGTTGTGCCTTGCCCAGCATTATCGCGAGACGAGAAACTGCACTCTGGAACTGCAACACAGCATCGGAATTGTGGAATCGGCTTTCAGCTGCTCGTCGGACCCTCTTGAGCCTCTGGTCATTGCATGTCTAGGACAGTCTAGACTTAGAGTATGAACCAGAAGAGCAACCGCAGGTGGATCCNNGGATCCACCTGCGGTTGCTCTTCTGGCTCATAGTCTTAGTCTAGACGTTCCACCAAAAACGCGGCCAATCCAAAGACACAAGCAATTGTACAGTGCTTCAGCCTGCTCCTGAGGAGCGAGCTGAAGCACTGTACAATCGTTTGTGTCGCAGACTGCACAGAAAAAACGTGGCTGAACGATGTCACCATGAGGCTGAAGAAGGGTTCGGCGCCCTTCTCCTCATCAAAGATCTCGAGCACCACCGCATGAAGAAGTCCGGGGCGAACACCCTCGTCCAAGGCCTTCCTGAAGCTTCCCAGATGTCCAAGTTGCTTTGCCGTACTTCTTTCTCGCGACAACGGAGGTAAGGCAGGCTGAAAAACGTGTTGTGTTGATGACCAAGAGCACGTCGAGTGCCATGAAACAAAGAAAATTTTGAGTGCATCCATGTCGAGCCAACCGTGCTTGGTAAGCAACAGCCACAGAACATGGAAATGAGCCGGGAGCTAATTTTCAGTGCATCCATGTCGAGC